GGCACTTTAAACCTTTTTAGAGGGTTTTCTGGTTGTCAGTGGCTGCTGCCATCTTGAACTTTTCTATGTCTCTAAAATGATCTCAGAAGAAGTTCCGCAACCAGCTTTCTAGAGTGTTGTTTATTTATAATAATTTATTGACTATTGGATAGCTAGTGAATTTACATAGAGTGTACGTAAGTTAGCAACTACCAATGCTCCCTATATTCACAGCGCAACTGAGTGAATTCACTCTACTTTACTGTATTTCTTGTTGTACAACCAGTCGTTTGCAATTGGTTTATGTGATAAAAGATTAACAAATCACCCTACGTTTTTTTGGCACCCGTCCATTTTGCACTTGTGCCATGAATTCAACAATGCTATATTGACTTTACCATATTAAATCTTTACCACATTGAAGACAGACGCTTCTTATGTCATTAATCCAATAAATTCATAGGTATAAATGAACACTGTCCTGTACGCTGCATATTAATACCGTTTACAACTGTACTGCTGAATTGACAGCTTCTACCTGACTTTTCTTGCAACCACAATAGTGCAATTACACCTCAACAAACTCCATATTGTGGGGGGGGGGGGGGGNTCCCGCTTCCCGTACCTTTATCTCCCGACTCCCGCCCTTGTCCGTCTTGCTCCCGTCCCCTGTAAATAAGGAGACTCAAAACACATCTTAGTCATTTATCTGGCAATCCTTGGGCGTTCCCTTTTCCTTTTTTCCTTTGTTTTCAGCCTTGCTCCTGTTACTCACGTCTTTTAAAAGCTTAAACGACAATGACGTAACCACCGTAAAAGGGTTTCCAATTTTACCGGAAGTAAACCTCAGTTGTTTAGCCCAAGAACGAAATTTCGTTTTTCCGTTGGTTCAGAAGCCTCAAAATAAGTTCAATGCAAGTCAAATAACATTTTGCGTTGTTGTTTTTAAGAGTAGTTTAACGCTTAATAAATGATTCCCCATTTCTTAGAACTCCCACTTCCCTCCCTTTCCTCTCCCGCCTCCCCCCCTATTCTCCCGGGCTCCCCGCCCCCCTGTCCCCCTCCACCATATTCCCTTTGGCATAAAGAATCACTGAATAAAATGAACTCAGAACAACAAAGTTAAATGAACAACCCAAGTATATAATGAAATGTTGGAAAAACGAACCAAGTAATGTAACAATCCTTGGTTCAAATGTACAGGACATCATTATAATAATGAAACAGCACCATACTATGTACTTGAATTTAACGAAGAATGAGCTATCAAGAGAAAATTTACCCTTGCACACGTGATGAGAAAATAATTATTGCTACACTACCATTTCTTTTTGTTTTTAGGTCGAAAAGGGAAATAGTCATTATTGCATGGTACGAATAAACTGTTGTTTTTGTTGTTATTTGTTACATCTAAGTACAGTAATACCACACAGAACTGCTTGCTACATTGGGATTGAACCGTACCTACATTTGTAGCCATGCTCTTAACTTTGCAAAATATCATGGTTAAATGGCTGCTAAAAATAAATAATATAATTTAAAATCCCTTTCGTTTTTATTACGTGTTCATTTCACTTGGAAAATAACATAATTTGGAACATCCCCCTTTATACTTTTTAGTCTCCATTGTTGCCTTGTTGTGCGATGATCCATGTTAACGACTCGTTGCGTAACTTGACTCGAGCCACCTTTTGATTGGTTGATTTTCATCATCAGCCAGGTGACTTCTTACTCCTGTTCGTGATTGGTTAGTTTTTCCAGTGTGTGCCAGTGTGTATGAACCTGGTTTGGCGTCTTAAGCATGTCGTACCAATGCATCAGTGAACTGCCGCTTGAATTAATATCCATTACAACTCCACCTAAGAGAAAAAGGTTGTCATTAACAAATTGTTACTACTTAATTTTTATTATTAATCTTTTTTGGAGACTTTCAATTCTATATACAAAATCCAAAATGGCAAACTGGAAGTGCCTTCTAACTTGGAATTTCTTGCTACAGAAGTGGTGTTGACAATCAGATAACGTAAACTGCCGCTTATAAGCCCTGGGCTTATACAACTTTGTAAGGGGTTTTTAGATGGGCTTATAAACGGAGGGGCTTATATCCGAGGGGGCTTATAACCGGAATAAAAAAAAACCGTTTTGAAACGAGCTATAAACCATAAACTGTACAACTTTATATGTATGCCGATTTCAAATCTAAATTAAGTCGCCACAGTTAAAGTACTATCTTAATTTTAAGTACATTTTTAGACACGGCCTCCATGAAAAGCAGTTTTTTTTCTCTTTTAAATTTTTATTGTAAGTAGGCAGATAGGTAGATAGTCCAGTAACTTTGTTGACTGATGGAAGAACTGTGTATAAATAAAGTTATCTTATCTTATCTTATGTTGATCGAATTAAAAAATTNGGGGGGGGGGGGGGGGGGGGGGGGCTTATAAGCGGCAGTTTACAGTAAGAAAAAGAGGGACCCACAACTTTTCCCACTTTAAGTCAAAGTCACCCTATCTACGGTAAGCATAAGCTGGAGTTTCTCACCTATAAAGTCGTTGCTTTTTCCTACATCATAGTCCCATACTGTTAACTCTAAGCATTTCTTTGCGAGATCATGGTGAGCAATTTCATAGACAAACTCCTGTGTTGATGGAACAAAACCTTGTGAGCACTTGCCAATTTCACAGAGTAGGTTCATGATTAGTATCGTGAGGTGCCAAAAAATATTGATTAACCAATACTACACCAAACTCCAAGAGAGGGTCTGTTACACTTATGCGGTTTGGCAGTTTAAGCCAGTTTTGAGTGCTGATTTGCGGGTACATTTACAGTTCACTGGCGGTTTACGGTTAAGAAATCATCGCACAGTTGCGGGAAATCATAAATTTACATGTAGCTTGCGGTTTTCAGTTTTTGCGTGTTTCTGTAGCGGTCATTCAAACAGTAGGAGGCTCAGATGACTGAGATGACTGAGTGTTGGCTTTATCTTGCTTTCAAGCTTCTCCCTCAACAAAAGATTACCTTTTAGGGCTAAAGACAATTGATTTGTTCAGTTCTTAAGATCTTTGTGAGGAGAAACACGATTATTTATTGAGAGGAATTTGTTGCTTACCGTTGAAAGATAGGTTATGATGATAATCGTCCTACTAGTAGGGCGGTTTTGGTTGTTAGGAAAAAACGAAAAGTGGTTGGCAGTTTCGAAGGAACATAATATGGCGGTTTGCAGAATGTACAGTGTACGACCCCCTATAATAAATCCTCCCAAGGGGGAGGGGGGTCTCAAAAGCCAACACCTTTAAAGGAAAGTATAAATCAAAACTGGAATTTCCAGAGGAATTTAGGGAAGGGGGAGGGTTCAACAAAAAACCCTCTGTGGGAGTATTGCTATTTTCTGGAATAACACACTGATTCCTTTCTTCACTCTTGCCAGCTGCTGGTAAAGTGACAATTTATTACAATAATTACATGTATTAAATGGGATCAATGATCCAGCTAGTTAGTCTTACTTCATTATATTCAGGATTAAGCGTCTTTTTCTTTACGCTGGTTCTTCTCTTGGATTTTTTGTGTACATCTGGTTTAAGGTAACTGAAGAGAGAGAGAGAGAAAACAAAAACAAAAACAAAATAAATAAAAAAAACAAAAAAAACCAAAAAAACCAAGAGTACAACTATAACACATAATTTATTTACAGTAATTAAAGAATACCCTTTCCATGGGTAAGGTATTTTAATGTTTTGTGTTTTGGGGTTCAAACTTAATTACCTCCAGTAACCAGCCCTTTATGAAGAAAAGAGAGGTTAGGGTTAGGTACTTTGGTGCTTTACATCTATTTCACTTTTCCTTTTTTTTTTTTTGGGCGGGGGGGGGGGGGGGGGGGGG